TTCAAAGTAAATATATCTCTGGAAATTGCTTTAGGAAAGCAAAACTAGCCAAACAGCCACTCTATGATTAGTTGCAAGAGTTAACCTTTTATTTAGGATTATGGACTTAGACCTACTGCCATTCCTCACATGAATAACTTCTCCTTAAGTAAAAAGTACAACTGCATTTCAAAGGATTTTCACTAAGTTAAAAAAAAAACCAACAAACAACAGTTGGGCTGAAACCTCTCTGTAAAAAACATGTTCTTTTAAATTAAAAAGTGTTTGTGTAGGGGAAGAATGGCCAATAAATTCCAGTTAAAGTCAATTCTGTTAAAACCTTAAATGTCTGCTCTAATAAAGACTTCAGGGAAAATAAATGGTACAAAATACTTCACAGGAGGGTTCAAGTGCAAGGCATATTTTCAGATAACTAGACAATCCATACTAGGATCTACTGGAGGCAAAATGTGGTTTTATTAATCTTTCCAGAAGTCCTTTCCAAAATGGGTAAGAGACTTGAATTTAGGCTCATTTGCCAAACATCCAAGAGGATTATCCTGGGCTTAATATGCAGATTTTTCTGGACTCCAAAAAATATTTACTCTTGTAAAAAAGTTGTATATTCTATCAGGTTGCAACCTTGGCTACAGATTTTATAGGAGTTCAGAAAGGCAAAGGACAGGGAAATTTATTTCAATGCCATCCCCTATTGGTTGGATTTCAGAACTCGTCCAATTTGCTGAAAGTTTCAGGTGGAGAAGTTGGGTTTTTTTCCTCTTCAAAAAAACTTCTTTTGAAGGATTTTCATTCTATAGAATCTTCCAGTTGATTTTGCTAATCCTCAGGTTAGATTAGTGCCTGGTGTGTGACTGAGGATGGGGTGACTCAGTCCTTGCTGAAAGTTCCCTCACCCTACAATATACAGAGAATTCCCTGTGGTGGTCTGACAGAGAAATCCTCCTCCTCTGGTGGGTGATGACATTCCAAACCTGTTGTTTGTGCTGGGAAATTGGGATGTTTTTTCCTTTGCAAACCCAGCCCTTGTTCCTTCAGGGTTTTTTTCCCCTGCAGTTCCTTTCCCTTTGCAGATGGTTGAGGTTGCAGATGGACGTGGGAGCATCAGGCTGAGCAGGACAGCTGTTCTTCCCATCCCTCTTGCTATGATCCCGGTTTTTATGTCACTGCCTCTTTGGTTTGTTTGGTTTGGGATTTTTAAACACTTTGTTCGTTGGAAAAAACAAAGAGGGAAGGGCCAGCTGGCAACTAAAGCTGAGCTGGAGAGAGAGAGAGGAAAGGATCAGGGCAATCACATCTCTACTGACTTTTTATCTGGGGTTGGAGATTTTGTGGTTATACTTAAGTAGTGAGCAATAAATCCCAGTAGGGGAACATAAGGAATGCAAAATTCAACATAAAATTTTACATTTAAACTCCTTCTTTCCATCTTTGTTTACCTGTTCTCCAAGAACAGACTGAAGCAATCACTGAAACAGTTACAGAAAACATGAAATCCAGGCAATATCCTTATTTTGTAAGTGAGGGAGGGCACATATTTTCCGAGAGGAGTTTTTGGTGTTGGGAGGTTGTAAGGTTGTGGCACGGTTTGGTTTTGAAAACGAGGAAGGCAGCACTATATAACTAAGGGGGAATTTTTGACTAAAATTCCTAAGTGCTCAAGAAAAATTTAATGCCAACAGGGTGTAACTTGCCTAAAATAGCTACATGTCTCAAAACTTGCTAAAATTGTTACTTTATCTGGATTTTTCAGTTCCCCTGATAAGATGTGGTTTGTCTGATACTGATAAGCTGGAATTGATTCTGGGCTTGTGTGAAACAAGTGAAAGTCAAGGGGAAGATTTTGGTCTGTGCTATGGGGGAATCAAAATGTGGCAGAACACAAAATGCAAGGTCTGATTTTGAGATGATTGGAGAGAAAATAATTAACTCAAATAAACCATCATCTCCTTCAATTAGTAAAGAATACATGGAAATAGAAACTAATATTAGCTCTATTATTTCAAGGCTGGTTTAGATTAGCAACCCATTTATTAACCACCATGGCACTGTTCTAGCTCTTTTCTGTATGAAATTCAGGTTTTAATAGTGTTCTCCCCAGTCCACGTCAGTAGAGAAATTTTTAGGGCTGAAAATCAAGGTTTTAAGCCTGGATTTCTCTTAAGTTTAATCTTCTGAAAAAAAAAAAAAAAAAGAAGCAATTTTACTCTGGCCTACATTAGGTCAGATTCCTGCCCAGACTTCCTGTTTTCTTGGAGTCTCCAAAAACATAAGACCTGATTTTTAAAGGCAGCTTCTCATTTGCTTTCACAATTAACCACAGGCAAAAATATTCAACTACCTACCTGCCTTTAACAATCAGGCAGCACAGCCCAGTTTTTCTCTGCTTGTGTTTAATACAGGCAAAAAAAAAAAAAAAAAAGCAAAACAAAACAAATAAACCCCTAAATCCTAATATTTTTTTTTTCTTCAATGAAAATGGGATTAAGCTTGAGAGTGCATAAATTTACGCTTATTGAGAAGTGGGGAAACATAC